TTTATATTTTTGTTCTACATAAATATAACCCACCTATTTCATTATTCAATAAATGCCAGTATTGTAATAATTACTTATCTCATATTCTGTACCAATTTTAAGACCGCTAAAAATTTTAACTTACTTAGTACTTGTAATATTAAGTTTGTTATTAAGTCACGATGTTTTACTATCCTGAAATTCAATTATTTTTGGATATTCACTTATATTAATACTTACAAAAGTCGAACACAAAAAAATCATTCTGCTGGTTCGTTCAGTAGGACAGTTGGGAGAGCGTCAGCCACGGTATGGTGAAGTAGCTGGTTCGAGTCCAGCCGGAAACAAGTTTTGTTTATGTTCATCTTTGTATTAAACTACAACTTAGTAGTTACTGGAAAAGTTCGAACACTTAAAAAATTCGTTCGATCCGGCTGGATTCGAACCAGTACCCTCAGGCAATCCGTGCCAGATTTATTTCTTTATTATTTATCTTTGTTTTTGGTTTTTAACGACTTTTTGCCGTAGCGCCATCTGTGAGTAATTTATATCTTCTCTCAGAGAGGTACCTTTACAGCTACCAGCAGCTGACTAGAGATGTCGCTGTAATAGTATTTTTTTAAATTTATTGAATGTCACGATGTTTTACCAGAGTTTTACTACCATGATATTGACGACGAAATACTTTCATACATTTCTCATAGATGTCGCTACAGCTAAAAAAGTCATAGGTACACATAGAAAAATTCGTGAGGTCCGCTGATTCGTTCCGTGGTTTAGTTAGCATAGCGGCTGACACGGTTTGCTAGAGGATGTCGGTACCAATCCGACCGGAAAAAAGGAGTTTTTACTATGTGTTTAATCTTTGTATTATAATAATTATTACTCCACTAGTATGACATATTCATTAGAACCGGCTGGATTCGAACCTGCGCCTTCAAGCAATCCGTGCCAGACGCTCTCCCAACTGAGCTACTGCTCGAAACAGAAGACTTTACGAATTTGTGCTTGTAGCAGATCTTTATTCTGGTTTTTAACGAGTTTTTTGCTATAGCGCCATCTGTGAGGAATCTATTTCTTCACTCCTTCAATAGTACTACCGCAGCTCAGTTGGGAGAGTCTCTGGCACGGATTACTTGAAAGTGCTTCTTCGAATCCAGCCGGATCGAAGAAAAACCAAAAGAAAAATTTCTTTAGTGTTCGATCTTTGTATTAATAATTGTAACAAACTAGTGGAGTAATTTCACAAAAAATAATTGAATATCATGGTAGTAAAACTTCGTAACATTAAATAAACCTAAAAAGTTACCGAGAACTTTAAGAGTACGTGTAAAAATAATTACGCAAGCTTTTTAAAATTGCCGAAATTTTGGGCTCCCTTCCTTTCATATCACGCAGAGACGCTGACGCTACTGTTCAGCCCCCTGCCAGGCCAAAAACAAACACTATTAATATTCAATGTTTTATTTTATAATCTGGTAGCGTCAAACGGAACGTAAACTACGCATTGGTTCCAAGTTTGATTTTTTAAATTTTTTTTTAACCAGGCTCTTTAATTGAAATGGACAATGTAGCTTCCTGGTAAGAAAAAAAGTTGAACAGAAGCTGTTTTATGGCAAAGTCGGACAAGTAACATTTTGACCCTGGCCATGAAACAGAATTTTAAGTACATTATTGTTTCTATTGGTAACAAGAACATTGACGTTAAAAATATACAGATACACTTTTATGAATGCTAAATTTCGTTAATGTAATGGAACCAGGAGTCTTTTACGGAGGATATTAAGTCCATTGTTCACAGTTTTCCACGTGGACTTAGGAAAAGAACATTCCAAAATTGTTTCAGGGCCTTGTTTTATAAATCCGACAAGTTTGTCAAAAACTTACAAAAACAATAATAATTGCTTTTTGTTAGGAAGTTGAAAATAAACATTTAACCGGCGCATGTAGCAGAACAAAAAAAAATAGAATTTGAAATAGTAAAGTTTATGTTTAAATAAATAGGAATTAGACATAAATTAGCAGTTAGGTATATTAACATCTTTTAACATCGACTTCACGAAAATGGCGAAAAAATCAAACGAAATGCTGAACATTTTAACATTTTAATCAAATCAAACTTTTTATTAAAGAAAAAAATTTCATCTAAAATTTATAAGAACGCAAAATCAACCTTGAATCACTCGACAAACCGGTACCGATTAGTATGAAAATTAAAACAAATTAATGAATAAATTAAGGTATACAATTCTTTTATTTTCAAATTATATAATTTGAAAATAAAAGAATGACTTTCGCGAGAGCGACATAAAGCACGAGATCTCTATGCCAGAATCAGTATCCAATAACTCATGCTTTATGTCGCTTTGGCGCAAGTCATGTCCGTCCGTAGTAAGCCTGCTGTAGGGCTAGCGTTATAGAGCGCGACTTTCGCGATAGCGACATAAAGCACGACAGCTCTATGCGAGAATAGCAGTAACTTGCGCTATGTCGCTTTCGCGCAAGTCGGGCCCGTTCGTGCTAGGCCTATTGAAATAAAAACGTAAGATAGCCGACCAGATATTTAAAAAAGAGTGCATTATTCGTAGTAGCAGTAGCAGTCCTTGTGAATGAGTTCGTCCAGGGAATTCGGAACCCAGTAATGTAAGTATTACAGCGTTCTGGATTTGAAGGGTACGGGTGCTGGTGACATTACAGGCACGTGGGATTTGGCGCAGTGGCAGTGCCCTTCACATCTTCGTTATTTAAAACTCTGAGTAATCCTGTAACTGTTAAGGACAGTCGTGTCGTTTACCATCAGGTGCACGACTTGTTTGTCCCGTCATTTGGTATCATAAAAAAATTTTTGGAGATTTTCACAAGTGTTCAAAATGTGCCATTATGTGTATTTGCCAATTTATTAAAACAGATAAATTCTTACAGTAATGTTTGATATGGGTGTATCGTGGTTACAAAGGAGGTTTCTATAGTGAAACAAAAACTTTATACTACAGGTTGCTTATGCTTGCTTGGGTGACAAAAACCCGTAGCATTTATGTGAACTTTCATTTAAGCCCAAAAAGTAATCAACGAAATTCGTTCGTAGAATCTTTAAATCCCCTTCTGAAAACATTGTAATTTTGCAGATGTCGCCTTATTACACCAAGGGCTGTGGGATGTATAAATTTCCCTCCACGACAAAGTTTTTAACGGTAATTTTTAACAGGAATCCATAATTTTGATCAGGGCCTCTTGGTGTTCAGATTATTAATAATCCAGTGGATAGTCTGGTTCTTAAGTTCTCAGTAAGTAAGTCTATTATTATGTTTATTTTAAACTCTCGCCTCTCCCAAGGCCTAAAAGACTAATTTTGAATTTTTAAATGGGAGAGGCGGTATTTCCCGGCAATGGCACAGTCGGCCGGGGTCAGGGACTCAGGTCCAAGAATCGGCGAACAATACGTGCCGTATCGAGCAGGACCGCCTTCTGCATTTGTGCTGGAAGCGACACGCCACAGAAATCCAACCACCTCAAGCTGTTAGAAAGGCTGACTGGAAATAACCCATTTGCGGACAAAACAATTGGGATTATTTCAGTGGAGGCCACATCCCACATGTCGGTGATCTCGTGCGCCAGGTCGAGATACTTCCGGCGTTTCTCGGTTTCAGCTTTCACGAGACCCTCGTCATGCGGGATGGTGACGTCCACAAGAAATACCCTCGACTGCGATCGATCCAATATCACAATATCAGGCTTATTCGCAAGAATAGTCCTTGATAATAGATCGATCCCAATAGATTTTGGTGCGGTCATCTTCGAGTATTGGCTCCGGTGAATACTTGTAATATAATACCTCTGTTGCACTAGTCCATACTTGAGAGCGAGCTCTTGGTGTAATATTTTGGCTGCCTGGTTGTGTCTGTGCAAATACTCAGTGTTAGCAAGAGCGGAACAACCGGAAACAATATGCCTAAGTGACTCTCCGGGACGGCCACATACCCGACAAATGTCTACTGTGCCGTCCTTTAGGATATACTTCCGATAGTTCCGCGTCTTGATAACCTGATCCTGTATTGCGCAGACAAAACCTTCGGTTTCCCCAAAGAGGTCCCCAAAACGCAGCCAATGTAGGGAGGCTTTACGGTCCACAAAAGGCTCGTGGAGTACCTTGAAGAACCTCTTGGAGCTCCTTCTCTTTCCATACGGACTCGCGGTCAGAGGTGCTAAGCACCACCGGGTCTCGCCATTCCTCTTTGGCCAACGATAAGGGAGTTAGCCCTTTATCATATGTGACAACCTCCCCACGAATTACGTCATCCGTCATCCATCGTCAAAAAGTAGTTATTATTATTATTATTATTAAGATCGACAGATAGACGCAGATTGAAGTCACGTCCATAATCTTTTTAATAATGTAATAAACTCCCAGACTCTTAGCCCCGCATTAGGGAAACCCTGTATCGTGGGTGCCATGGACACACACATAAAACAATCACAAATTACACCCAAACACACGAGAGAAATAAATGTAGGTCATACGTAAGCATGGCTATGGCAAAGGCAGTTTAAATTATTGATTTATTTAGTGATTTTTATTTAAATGCATACCAATTTTTAAAACAACTCGAAAGACTGAAGTTACTAGGGCAACAGAAGCGGTGGGCGTCTTAAACTATGGCGCACAAAAAACGCTCGGTTCACAATTACGTCAAAGTCGATTTGACAACTTGATGAACACGTTCTTGCTTCGGCTGTTCGACATTTGAATTTGACGGATCCATGTGGGTGGTCCGTCGAACGTGTAATTTTTTTCTTTTGTTTTTATTTTTTTTCCACTCGGACGTAGGGCGATGACTAACAAGCTTTTAATAACTAGCCACCAGTGTAGCGTGATAATCATTTTCGACCAGTATTAAAAAAATAGATTTGTTACGTTGGCAAACAATGTATTTTATAGTTTATTTTATCTAGGAACCGAAAACTATGGATTGTGAAACGTCAAAACACAAAAAACGTAACTCAGAAAGAGACTGTTTGTGCCGCTCAAAAACGAAAACGTAAGCGCAAAATGACAGCTCAAAATTTACACGCTCAAAGAACTGTCAAAGTGACATTAGAGTGAGTGAGTGCGTTCGGAATGTGCAGTCCAGGATCATGGTGACACTGATGCCGTGTAGCTACCTTGGCGGCGCTTCACCGCGCTGCAGCTTGGACCACGCTGAGCCTAAGGTCAGAAACAAAAAGTAGGAAGATGTAGATAAAACCTCAGCCACACGAATAATTTATCTGCTAGCGTATTCAATGAATATCATAATTGTTTATTATTGACGTTTTTGTATGGATTAAATTAGACATTTTAATTATGGTTGCAATTGTAATTCCATAGAAAACCGTCAAAATAAGCGATTGCGGTGTCATAATTACATTAATTAGAAAAAGAATAAACGAATGTCTTTACGTTCCAAAAAGTTTCAATATCATTTATTTTTTTAAATTTCGGATCTCGTGTGGTTAAGGTTCCAAATATAGAACGACCCGTAGAAAAATTTAGTACAACAAGCATAAATCCTATTTGCACAAGAAACGCACATTCGCAAATCAGCATGTAACTTATGTAGAGATCCTTGCACTTGCACATTTAGCATGTTACATAAAATATACGCTTCAGACTAGTGAATATAACGCAAACCTTTGGAACAAAATTAGGTTTTACGTGAACATTATAAAATTCAAATTAATAGTTCCTATAGACTGTTTATTTGTGTTTTTTGTAGTAAATTTACTAACACGACAACTGAACAACGATGCATAAACAAAACAAATTGCCAAATAAAATACCGTTCATTTGTTATTCCGACAACTTCCTTTATTTGCAGAACTCGGAATAATTATGGACAATTACGCTCCTACTTTTTAATTGATTTTGGTGTAGATATTGTTAATTATATAAAAACTTTTTCACATTAGCAACAAAACCAACTCTAAAAAAAACATTTTTTTTCTTAATTAAGACACAACTTACCCACCAAAACTGTACAACAATGAATCCAAAAGGCCACACAACAATTAATTCTCAAGGTGTCCGTAACTAACACCGAATTTTATCGCTCTGACAGAACACTCGTAGGTTACAAAACTGTTTATGTTTGTACGTATTTGAACGGTGTGACGATCATGTTACCCATTCATACGTTAATCTTTATACGCCATTAAAAAGTCGTAGCGGTGTCATGGCGTACCTACGGGACAGTGGATCGTTAGCCACTTGATACCAGGCCATCATACTGGCGAGGAGTTGGTTTTCAGTTGTGGAACGCGCATTTAAATTTGGTATGCGGTGTTTGAACAATGGTGTCGCACAGATTAAAACCGTTGTTCATAGAGTTGTTTCTTCATAAAAATATTACGTTAAATGTATAACTGATGCTTGTGTTTAATGTACCTACTCTACGAAGTTATAACAGTGTAGTATCAAAAGCCTTAAAATAACCCTTAATAAAAATTGTATACGACACACGTTTTATATAACTAAACGAAATCTTGAACAAATTGAATTTGTAAACTTATTGCACTTCAAAATAAAGTTTAAACAAAACGTGTTTGTTATGAAAGACCTAAAAATAGACAACGACATAAATGGAAAATTCATAAACAAAAGCATTTCGACAAAAAAACAAAATTCCTTTTAAAAATAAAATGCGATCGTTATTCGAAGCCACCCAACGATAATACCAATAAAATGAATTGTCCTCACGACGTATGCGATTTGTCCCACGAGATGTCTCTCTTGATTTAATCGTTTAAGCGATGTAAAATATTCATGATTTTCGTTGATACGACTTATTTAATAGAATGAAAATTGGTTTTAATTGTAAAAACAATGATAAAAATACTTTTTAGAGCGTAGTTTTTAAATATTATTTATTCAAAGTAAATGAGACTTGATAGGGTACTTTACCGGGTCAAGAGTAGATAGGTACGTTAAGCTAATTTAAGATCAATGATTTATTTTCCTTTTCACAAGTGTAAATAAGAACTAACTTTACATTACATACTTCTGCATTCCTTTTACCGAAATAAATAACTGCTTTATTTATCATCTAATCTAATTGATTAATTGTTATCAATTGTAACTAATCAGTTAATAAAATTAAGCATCAACAATCGTTGAGAATTGTTATTGATAACATTAATAGAATAATCAATGCGTGGAAAAGAGACAGATATATATTTACAGCTTACTTACACTTTATGACGGATACTCTTTATGTGAAGTCCTGGTATTTAAGTTCTTTAAAATGAATATTAAATTACTCAATCAAAAATACAAAATGAGACAAAAACATGATGAAGAGGCAAATATTTAAAAAACAAAGTTCAACACAACATCTTTGTTTTTACAAAGATGTTTAATCGCCATACAAATAAATCACAATAAAAATATGGCATTTCATACTACGATTAAAAAATGAAGTGTTTTCAATTAATTTTCCGCAATTAAACAACAATAATATGTGTGTCTTTCATTATTTATGTACCAGGCGATCATAAATATGGCTGACGATAAATTTGAAAATTTATTCGGTGAAGGAAAAGGGCCAAGTCATAAATATAAAGTGAGATAAAACAATAAACGAATTACATATAAAATAAAGAAGCGTTTTGTCTCGACGCTTGTTTAGGATACAGGTTGATTCACGATGTTCTTTGTTATTTTTGATTTATGTTATGAATTTAGTATTACTAATATAATCGTATAGTAACGTTTGTCGAAATGGTAAAATTCAGAAGGAATTGTCACATATACAATTACACATGTCTCCACATGATTTTTGCAATTTTTCTTACGTCTTTGAAGAAAAAAGCCAATTTTCTATCCTGAAATTAGGTTATTCCATTTTTACGTATTTACTTAATATTATATGTATGTTATTTAACAGTAAATTTTGGAGACATAGTTTAGCACTTTAGAGCTAAAAATTTTACATTGTAATCATTTGCTCAAGAAAGGACTCCGAGAATGAAAGAAAATAACTTTACTTACTTTGTGTTAGAGTTTATTATTCCAAAGATCGTATCGTACCCTACTCAGACTGTCATTGCGATTCAATGACCAAAGGTCACGTCTTAAACAAACAAAACATGCATTTAAATTAGTAAAACATCCTATGCACGAGAGCCCGAAGCGCGCAGGCGCGTTGTCGCCGCGTAAAACGTATAAATTAGCCGTCCTATCTCACCATCGGTCGGCCTCACACCTCGAGAGGAATGCTTGTGATTTACGCTCTTTCACATGCTCGTGATACCTCCTAGTGGTTTCTGTTCTCCTGGTAGATTAGGTAGATTGATTGTTTGTTCTAACCTTAGTAGACATGAACTGCTTAAGTTCTGTAAAGCTGAAATGTTGAAAATTTGTGTTCTAGATGTAAGTGTACTTATTTTATTTTATCTCAATTTTGATTTGGGTCTTCAGGATACAGTACGCGAGAAAAGAGAGCCAAAGCTTCAGAGGAAATAGTCTCCAGGCTGTAAGATACATTTATGTTTCTTTCGATATTTTTTTTACATTCTGTGAATGCATAAAATTATATAATCACCTATTCATTAATAGTTTTTCATTCAAGAATATTTTCGTAATTAATAACTTATAGGTCGTATTAAGAAAACAAAATTTCATATTTTTCATAGACTCCGAAATGTAACTTAAGTAACTTTTGACATGAGCTTCACTTTATCTTCGGTTTTCTTCATGAGGCTTGGCTTGACCTCCTTCAGAAATTTTCTCCCCCAATCATTGCTTTAATATTTAGCCGACCAAATAACTCGATTGACAATCTTCTACTTCCTATGCTCGCCTGGTATTTCGCCTAATTGATATAGCTAAATGTCAAGGTAACAGCAATTACGCTATCGCTTATCACAATGATAAAACACTGCAAATAAAACTAAAAGGTTTTTTATACTGAGTTTACCCTATTTTGTGCCATCGCGACAAGTATCAACGGACCATGCCTCTACCACGATCTTACATCACTGCAGTGAGAGTTGTCGTTAGCGATCGCGCTAAAACTTCACAATTTTGTATGGCAAACTATACAGCGCCTCTAGCGGTCACAAGAAGATATAACATTTGTTATTATATGTTTAGGCGATCATTTTATGTGACAATTGGCATATAAAAATCATAGAAGGGTAGGGAAGATATTGTAATTGGTAATACCACGTAATACTGTGGTAAAGCTGATCCACTACAAGTGTCTCTGTTTAACTAATAGCTATACCTAGTTTAGTTTTGCTGTTTATTAACTGACTTCAAAAAAGGAGTGTCTCAATCTGACTGTATTTTTTTTGTGTATGTATGTTATGCAATTACTTCAACATTTGAGAAATTTGAAGAGACCTCGAAGGGTGGCAAATTAGGGGATGAATCCGGCTTATTGGATTTCATCTACTTTCCGTTAACCGATTTCAATAAAACTTGGCAAATAGATTTCGTGTAGGTAAGTAGGTCATATGCTTTAAATTTACCTGTTTCCGCAAAAGGACAGTCCAGTCCATCTAGCTCTATTATATATAAATTGTACGATAATTGTCTTTGAAAACAGTAACCAATTAAGGAATTCTTTGATAATCAACTACTTAAATCAAACGAGACGTACTGGCGCCGGTCGTTTAATAAATTGCCGTCGATTTTATTAATGTCGCGTCGTGTCGTGACCGTATCGTGGCCACATCGGATCCGGAGGACGTTTAGGAGTGATATTATTTATACTCAGAGCCTTTATCTTCGATCTCGGTGTCCGTTATTTTAGTTGGTTGACGTTTTCTGACTGCTTTTTGGGAAGGGTATGGGTTGTTTATTAGAATTATGAATATGAAAGTACTGTGTGGTTTTTGTAACTTCTCAGTCAAATTTAAAGTATAGCTTTGTTTTTTAAGTTTCGAGTGTCAATAAATACATCTTACGTTTTTCAATTCAACGACCTAGGTGGTCTAGCAGGCAATATTGTGGGCACTGATCCCGGTTTCGATTAATTTTGGAATTTTTTTGAGTCTTACTGCGATATTGGTTATTGCGGTTACCAGTAGGTACACTACACATCCCCCATTTTTTTTATGATGCCCAGAGACGATACTAACAAGTCGTGCGCTAGTTGGTAAGCGACACGCCTGTCCATAACAGTTGCAGTTCCATTCATAGCTTTAAACCACAAACATCAGAGGGGCAC